TTGTAACTTCCACGTATCACGTGGAGAACTCAAACCGATGCACCAAATGCAATGGCAAGGGCACACGGAGTGCCCAAGTCCTTCTCTCTCAAATCCCACAGAAGCAACTAATGCTAGGGAGGAAGATGAGAGGAAGAACAAGAAGGAGAACACCAAGAACTCCAAGATCTAGATCCAAGGGGTTCCCCTCACATAGAGGAGAAAGTGATTGGTGGAAATGTGGATCTAGATCTCCTCTCTCTTTTCCCTCAAAACTAGCAAGAATCCATGGAGGGATTGAGAGATAGCAAGCTCGGAGAAGGTCAACAATGGGGGAAGCACACGAGCTCAAAGGATAAGGTTCAATGGGGGAAGAAGACCCCCTTTTATAGGTGGGGAAAAATTCAACTGTTGTGCTCACAGCCCGCACAGAGCGGTACTACCGCTAGGGAGGTAGTACCCCTTTGAAAAACAACAGCGAGGAGGTAAAAGGCCAGTAGAACTGCCGGAGCGGTACTACCGCTCGTCCTCACGATACTACCGCTCGACCTCACGGTACTACCGCAAATGGTAGCGGTACTACTGCTTGCGAGCAGTACTAAAAAAATACTTCCGTGCCTACGTCCGCTGAGCAAAACACGAGATTTTGGTCCGGAGCGGTACTGCCGCTTAGGAGCCGCGGTAGTATTTCTCTGGAGCGGTACTACCGCTCAGGAGCTGTGGTAGTACCGCTCAGGAGCGATAGTAAAAAATACATCCGCTCTAGTCGCAGTAGTACCGCTGCAGCCTTTACCAAAACAACCACAACTTTTGCAAACGGACTCCGAATTCAACGAAACCAAGTTTGTTGGAAAGCTAACGACATGGGCTAACACAATTTTGATATAAATATAAATAAGAAGCAAATGAGAAAAGGCCCATAAGAAAAAGGTGAGAACCCTTCCTCGGATAAGACCGGTAAAACCTCCAACATCGAAAACATCATAGAAGACGCATGCGAACTCCGTTTTAGATGAACTCAAGATTGTCATCAAGATGACCATAAGCTCTAAGACTCACAAAGAGAACCAAACAATAACCAAGAAACATGATGCAAGGATGCAATGGTTTGAGCTCTCTACTAACGATATGATCAAGCTACCAACTTGAGAGCCCCCCTTGATAGTACGTCAAACGATCCTATAACCCGGTCTCCCAACTACCACCACGAGACCGGTAAAATAGAAAACCTATCAAGGAAAAACCTTTGCCTTTCACATGGTCCGCTTGATCTAGATGATGACGATCTTGACTCCCTCAAGTTGGACCACCTTTCTTGATTGCGTTGGCTCGATGAAGACTAGATGATTACTCCCCCATAGTCCTCTATGGCTGAGCCACTCTTCGGCACATCTTCACAAGTCCATTGACACCATAATGGATGACAAGATTCAAGCACTTGATTTCTTCGTGATGCTCCACTTGAACTTGCACACGACAATCTTGATGACGATCACCACTTGATGTCATCCTTTCCATGGGTTGTATGATATCTTCCTCTTGACGCAAGCCCATGGACACGTACCTAACCCCACATAGAACTCTCACATAGACCATGGGTTAGTACACAAAGTGCAATGGACAATGCTTACCATACCATGGGATCACTTGATCCCTCTCGGTACATCTTCTATGCTTTGTGTGTTGATCCACTTGATTCACTCTTGACTTAGTCTTGATCAACCTTGAATCTTTCCAACACTTTTCATTTGGATGATGTCTTGAAGGTAAACATGAATGATCACACAATCTTCTTCTTCAAGACATGCTTGCAATAAGCTCAACACTCACATGACCAATCTTTGGATAATTCCTTAATAGCACCTTGATCAACTCATAAAGTCCTTGAAACCAACACATGGACTTCAAGAAAAGCCTATGGACAAAACCTTCAAATATAACTCAAGGCAACCATTAGTCCGTAGAGATTGTCATCAATTACCAAAACCAAACATGGGGGCACCGCATGTTCTTTCACTAACCAATTTGAAACTAGTCTCTGGCAAATTCCATGCTTTGTGCCTCACGGTGGTGACGCCCCTTGTATTGCCGAAGTAGTTCGAGGAGTGGACTTCGGCCATCCCGCAGTTGTTGGGTCTCTTCTATCCTACGTACCTATACTTGGGGGTCAAGGGACCATTAAACGTCGTCCTCCACCAGTCGCCTCCTTGACCATCGCAATGACCTCCACCATCCTGATGCAACCGCTAGTCCCTCCAGTTGATCACGACTTCAAGAACGATACACAGAGGGGTCATGATATCGGATGTTGCCATCGTCCGATACTGAGTAGATCTAGGGTTTCCCCAGAGTGATCTAAACAAAGAGCAGGCTCTGCGTCATGACAACATCTCAAAAAGAAAGTGATGTCTATGGGACCACGATACTGGTCGGACCACTGACCCCCTGGCATCCTCTCTAACCACCACAGAGTGCAACCACACCGCAGGTTGCTGCAACCCACACATCATTGCAGATCGTCGTTGCTACCGGCCATCTAGGGGCGCTGCTTGTCACAAAACGGGTAGCAAGGCTACCAAGGTTCATATCTGCAGCCACGAGGCCCATCCCGTTGCTTGCTCCCGCAGGAGTGGTTGGGATTCCCCCAAGTGTAAGGGTGAAGTAGCCCAACGTCAAGTATTTTCCTCAGTTAGAGAACCAAGGTTATCAATCTAGTAGGATCTCTCCCAACAAACAAAGTAAGCAGTACCTGCACACAAAACACAGAATAAACTTGTCCTCAACACGGCAAGAGGGTTGTCAAGCCCCTTGTCTTGCTAGTCACAAGATTAAACACAATAGGTAGAGATATTTGGTAGCAAAAATAAATAGGGCGGCAAGGAAAATGTTTGTTTCCAGTAAAGGAGAATAGACCCCGGGGCCATAGGTTCACCAGTGACATCTCTCTCAAATAATCAAGTGGCATGGTGAACAAATTACAGTTGGGCAGCGATTATATTGCAATATTTATATTTATGACTATGCTTATTCATGGTATAATCTTATATAGACATTACATCCGTGATAATTAGACCATTGATCCAACTGCATCTACTACTAATTCTCCACTCAAAGACCATTATCCATCATGCATCCCGAAGTATTAAGTTCACAAGAAACAGAGCATTGCAATAAGCATGAAACATCAATCAATATGATAAGACACCGGCGTTTATCCTTAGTGGCAACAATATAATACGTGTCTTGGCCCTTATTGTCACTGGGTTAGAGCACCGAAAGATTGAACCCACTACAAAGCACCACTTCCTCTGAAGAAAAACCCATCAAACCTGGTCAGAGAAGATAGATAGATTAAAGAGCATGCAAAACTATTTAATTATACAACAAAAATACCTCAAAAGATTCAATTGATTTCAATGAACAGTCAATTCATAAAGTGACAATTCATAATATCTCGACAAACACTCCACTGATTACATCGAATTCATCCCGATCATGCGAGGCAGCTCACAAGAACATGGTATTGGAGAGAGAGAGAGAGAGAGAGAGATCTTGCTACCACTATGGACTCTAAGGTCCAAATGGAACTACTCACACATAGGCATGGAGGCAACAAGGTTGATGAAGAAGCCTTTGGCAATGAACTCCTCCACTGGTAGAGCCCCAGAACATGCCTCTAGATTGGATCTTCATGAAACAGGAACTTGTGGCGGCGAAATAATATAAATTGCTATAACAAGTATATAAAAATGATAATATAATGCAACAATAAAAAAATTATAGATACGTTTAAGACGTATCACCGCCCTCTTTGGCCAAGGTCGCAAGAAACCCCGTCCAGGCGACAACCTACCCGGGCCTAGAGCTGGAGAACACCTCACCACGGTCCACCCCACGGTTACCCCTCCATTGCGCTTCCCCCAAGTTGCATCCACCGCGTGTCCCAGCCACCTGCAACAGCCACTGCGACCACTGGTAACAAGGGCACCAGTATTGGCTACCGACACACACAAAGTAGGTGCGGCCTGATCTAGACAACCGAGACCGCATTGCTATGGATTTCTCGTGTTTTATAAAAGAACACATGCAAAAACATTGCAACATCTCAAGTCGTCCATGTACCACGTCTCATCGG